CTATGCCTTGGCTCCAGGTCACCACATTTGTCCACTAGTGTCCCCACGCTCAGGGCATTGTCCCACCATAAGGACCTTGCTACTCTTCCTAGACTGGGGATATGAAGGAGGCCCGAAGGCCCGAAATACCTTTTAAAACAGAAATGCCACATTCCTGGCTGCCCCCTGACCTTTGTGCATCTCTGGAAGCTCCCCTGTCCCCTCTTCTGGAAATCCTGCTTCTTTCCTGTCCCATATCTCTGCAGAGCATGATCATCCCACTGGGGTCTGGCTTGACTCTGGTTCTACCAAAGCCAGGTAGGCATGGCATGGCTACCTAGGATTGGAAAGGCCACCTTGCTTAGGATTCCTGTACTTCATAGCCACTTTATAGAAGCAATGACTCATCTAAGGGGGCTTCTTTCTGGTGTCTTATGTTACTTCCAACAGTACCAGGCCCTGGTCCTTCAAGGTTCTGCCTTGTAGATCTCAGGCCAACCCAGAAGACCCTTGAAGGGAAAGGAGAGGACTAAGATGTTTTGTAAAGAAGAGATGAGTTGGAGTGAAGTTCTTGCATTCAAAACCATGTCAAAGACCTGCCCTGGGCTGGGCACAGGACATCTGTTGCAGCCAAATTCAGCAGGAGGCTGAGCAAGGCAGGAGGGACCTCAGAGGAGTTGTAGGAGCTTGTGGTGACTTTGGAGAGAACAATTTCCAGGGAGGATGGGGGTGAAGGATGAGGTCAGGAGACAATGAGGATGAAGGTTCTCTGGGCACATGAGAATCACAAAAAATACCTCTTAAATGAGCGAATTCCCATTCCAACTTGATGGTTATATGAAAACTAACTTTCCTTCTCTTTTACAGCACTGGGCATTGAACCAGGACCTTCACATTAAGCTCATCCTCAACACTTTTCAAAAATCTTTATTTTTGAGACAGGGTCTTGCCAAATTGCCCCAGCTGGGCTTGAACTTGTGATCCACCTTCTTTAAACTCACCTTAGTTGGGTCTCCAGAACAAGGTCTGAACACAGGGGCTACTGTAGAAAAACCTAGCGTCTGGACTCTGTTTAGACCAGGCTTCAGAACAACAGAAGCGTGTTACGGCCTGCAAGGCAGCCAGAGTAACCTGGGCCCCTGTGCCCGGCTCCCTCGAAAGCTCAGCTGGTTTTGCCCAAAGTGCCTTCCACTTTGCTCTCTAAGGGGAGCTCCTTTGGCTTGGGCCCTGGGGGAGGGGCCCAACTCCGTCTTCTATTGTCAGGCCCTGGCAGTGGGTGTGGGGAGGTTTGTTTCTACTGGGTAGGGCCAGAAAGCTAGAAAAATAATAAATAATAACAAAAGTGAGGAGAAGCAAATCTCTCTCTGGCTGAAGCTGTGGCTGTCTGAGTAATGGGTTCCACATTTGTCTGGCTCTGTCTGCAGCCACCAGGATCCAGGGTGCACAGAGGGTCTTGCAAGGTCTGGAGAGGACGGCTCAGCTGTGGCCAGACCTAGCACACCCTTGTGATGGCCCCATCACTGGCTGGCCACCACATGGCTGAGATGCTGCTTGGAGCTCGTCCTTCAGCACCCCAGCCTTCCTCCCCTCCCCAGTCCCCACCCTCCTTGAGGCTCCTGGGCTCCTGCCGGCCTGCACAGATTGTTCGTGTTATTAATGCCGTTTTCCCAGAGATTCCATCTGGCTTTTTAATTGCTCTGGGATGGGGCTAGGATGCTTTGATAGTGAATTGGTATCTTTCCTCTGTCTCTGCTTACGTCAAATGCTCCATCCACAGAGAAGGGTATGGGGGAAGGGGAGTGGTAGGGATGATGAGAGAGAAAGCCGGAGTCTTTCATAGAATCAAGGAAGTTCTTTCGAAGGTGATTTAGGGTTTTTTGGGGAGGGGGGTATTGAACTGAGGGCCTCTATCCTGAGCTTCATCTTGAGCTCTTTTTCATTTTTTATTTTGAGACAGGGTCACCCTAGTCACCAAGCTGCCCAGTTTGAACTTGAGATCCTCCTGCCTCATCCTCCCAGAGTGCTGGGATTACAGGTGTGTGCTACCACACATGGATGGTTTATCTAAAGAGAAGATAAAAGGTGTCCTCTGCCCACCAGCATAGGAAAGAAACAGCTGAGATAACAACATTATTCAGGCAAGGACTCTACTGAGTCTCTGCAAAAGGCCTCTGGGTGCCCTGCAAGGAGAAGCCTGTGAGTTAAGCAAAGTCAGGGTTTCTGCTCCCCCTTGACCTTTACTGTGAGGGGCCCCCTCCCCTCTTGTGAAATCAGCCTGGAGGAGGCCTGGCAGGTTCCTGCCTGGAAAGGAGGGGGCGGGAGATCTGGGAGGGGCAGACACTCCTGCAGTCCCAGAGGCTCTTGCAGGTGTTAGGGCTAAACCCCATATTCGCAAATTCCCAGGAGATCTAAGAGATAAAGGTGACATCTGTGAGGGCACTAAACCATCACGAGGCAGCTGGTGGCAAAGGAGCTGCCTCCCCTCCCATCAGTGCTTGTTCCTCTCCCGAAGGCCGGCTCCCCTGAACAGTACCGTCAGAGGACACAGGACTCAAGGGCGGCCTGGAGAAGGCGGCAGTCAGGCACTGCCCATTGTGGGGACAGCCATGCAAGGCAGAAGCATCCAAGCACCTTGGGACTGTGGGTGGCACTGCCCTCACCAGGTGTTGGGTCGACGCCTTTGCCTCTGGGATACCTGATACCCCTCCCCCACTGCACTGGTCACCTTGACACTACAGCTTGAGTCTGTGAGCTCCTCAAGAGCAGGAACACAGTCTGCTTGTTCCCAGCAAGTGCCCGGATCCTTGGAATGGACCCTAGCATACAGTAGGCGTCCAATAAATACTTGGGGTGGTTCAGTGCCAGGCTTATTGGAGTGGGTCTTCATGTAGGCTCAAGTCAGGAGAGGAACCGAGGAGAGCCCTGCAGGAAGCAGTGGGTGTCCACAAGTGTCTGTTCCTGGGGGCACCTCTGCCGGGCACAGAACAAACGTTGGACATGTTCGTCCCACATTCACCTTGCTTTTGGGAGGGCTTTGCACTGTTCTGTAACAAGATGCACTGTCTTCTTTTAGCCCCTCTAGAGGTCTTATTCTCCCCATGTCTTTCCTGGGGCTAATGTGATTGGTTCCATCTTGTCTCCAGCACATCCCATCCTGGATCTCATGGTGCAAAGCAGCAGGGCCACCCTTTGGAAAGCTGCCAGCTTTGAAAGAGGAAGCCCCTGGAGGGAAGGCCCAGCAGAAGGGAGAAGAAGGGAGGGTAAGAGGGTCGGCCCTCCCCTGTACATCCTGGGACCTGATCTGGGGGCAAAGGGGGACGCGAAGGATCAGCCCCTCTAAACTAGAAAAACTGGAATTAGCACTGAACTCAGAGAGGGTTTGCTGGGGCCTAGCAAGCTGGGGCCTGCCCCAGCCTCTAGGCAGGTGGTGGGGCTGTGCCTCCTCGGTTCCCAGGGTGGTGGGGCAGGCTGCCGCCTCCTCACTGGGCTCATGGTCTCTGCCAAGGGCAGTCATGGGTGAGGCAGCGGCAAAGCACAGGACAGAGGTGAGGGGGCAGAAGGGAATTATCTATGCAGGCAAATCAAGCTGCAGTTTTCAGAATTTAAAAGAATGTGTAATTTCTCAAAAATGCCCTGGCCCACATCGGTATGCCCTCTTGTGAAAAGGGATAAAACATGTTTCACCTTTTACCCTTGCAGAGGGGAAGATACTGAAAGCACCAGCAGCCTCCTGAGCTAATGCTTTTAGGCCTCCTGGACTAAGGCAGGGGTGAGATCCACCTTCCCTAGGTTGGCTGTCACTGCTGCTGAGGGGATGCTGGCGTGCCTGTCCTCATGGGGTGATCATCAGCTCTCAGTCTCCTGCTTGGTACCGGATCAGCAGGTGGATGCTGGGGCTGCCGGCTGTACAGGCAGTGTGCAGGGGTGGGTCACGCTGTGGCCCTCTTTCTTGGCTGGCTGGGCAGGAGAGATCTGGAGGATGAGGAGGGGGGCTCAGGCTGCAGGCTGCCCTTCTGGGCATCACTGGAGTGTGCTAAAGTCATAAGGCTCAGGGAAAGTGAGGGCAAGTGGGGAGGGGTGGAGGGTCTGACCCCTCCAGGCCTCTTCCTGCCCACCCAGGAAGAAGGCTGGAGCCAAGGCAGGTGAGTCAGGCTGCTCTGACGCTAGAGCCCAGTGACTTGGAAGTGTGGCCGAAGGGCCCCAGAGCCTGGAGCCGCTGGGTGGGTCTGCCTTCTCTGGGTCCTTCTCTCCCAGGCCACACCAGGACCTCAGCCCCACACACCTCTCTAAGACACCCCCAGCACCACCCCTTCCTTCACAGAACTCTTCCTTCAGGCTCTAGAGTCAGCCTGGAGCTTTGTTCTCCTTCCGTTATTTGTCTTGGTTGGGGGAAGTCACCCCCTCAAGGTAAAGAGGGGCTCGAGAGAGGCTAATTCATCAAGATCTCAGCCAGATAAAATGTGTGACCTGGCCCATAGAAACTCTCAGAAGTAGCTTCTTTCTAGTTTTAAAAAGACACCAAAATTCACTTTGATATGTTTATATTATAGATATAGTACATAAAACATCTAACACGAAACTCTATGCTCTCCCCCAAAGAAGACAGCCAAGGGGTCCTTCCCTGCTCCCAGCCCTGGCCATGTGTACACACTGGCTGGAGGGCACTTCCTTCCAGACCCGGAGCCAGGTCCTCTTGGGGGACAAGCCTGCGGGCAGCCCCAGCCAGAGGTAGCAGAGGCCCAGGAGGCCCAGGACCCAGGACAGGGAAAGCCTAGGGGGAAGGGGAAGCGCATCTGACCTCACTGGTTCCCCAGGGGGCAAAAGCAATCCCAAAACCAAAGGAAAGAGGCTCAGCCCCCCCCCCAGCTGCTGATGGAGAGTCTCATTTTGGCAAGTATCTGAGCAAAACCAAACCAAAACAAAAACCAAATAAAATGGTGGTTTAGCATAGACGTGCACATTCACATTGCACAAGGCACTGCTGGGACACAGAGGCCAGATACAAGTGTTGATATCGGCTGATAAAGCAAAATATTTGGAAAGCTTGTCATAACTCCAGTTCCTCTGGGATGGACGGATTGTGCTTCATGTTTGTACGGCAATGCTGGTGACATACAGTACAGACAAGGCTGACAGTCCCAATATCCTTCTACCCTCCCACCCCAAGACCACATCTCTCCTCCACCAGGTCACCACCCCCTCGAACACCAGTCCCTAGGGCCAACTCAGGCCCCAGCTTTCCAGTGGGACTGGGGGCGGGGTCTCCTGCTGGTGCCCTGGTGAGTGCTAACCCAAGCAGCTCCGTGGGTTGCAGCCTGACATGGGGTAGGGTGGAGGTGAGAGAGGCAAGAAATCCTGGACCTGCCACCGCGGTGCGGAACTAGGGGAGAACCTTCGGTTGAAGCCTCCTCCCCTCTCTGGACCCTCGCAGACAGCCGAGCCTTGGGGCTGGATGGTTAGGATCTCAGCTTCCTGATGGGCCCGGACCCAGCCTGCTCTCCAGGCTTCCTGCAGCGGCAGAAGAGGCAGGAACCCTCCAGATAAAATATCAAGGCACATGTTTGCTCCCCCTACTCGGTAGGAATCAGAGCGAGTTTGCATTTCCAAGGCACTAGGTTATTCCTTAATACTAGAGTCGCTGGGCTCCCAGCTCGGCCCCAAGAATTCCCCCCTGTCCCAGGGAGAAACCACCATCTCATTCCCTCATCTTAAACGCACCAAGTCCGGCCAGAGACAGGGAAGGGACGCGCCGAGCAGGCCAGGCTTTTTCAGGCGGCACCGGAATGTCTTAGTCGTGGCTCGCACGGCCGGGCAGTCTTGAGATCCGGCGACCCGAAACCACTCCCCGGGTCCTGGCAAGGGCCGGCCCAGGGCGGTCGGCTGGCGCGCCTCACGCGCAGTTGCTCATGGCCTTGACCAAGGAGCTCTCCGGCAGTTGGCGGAAGATGTCCCGCAGCGTGTCCAGTTCGCGGCTCAGCTGTTCCACCCGCTTGCGCAGGCGGTCATTGTCACTGGTCAGCTCCAGCACCTTCTGCTGCGTCTCCACGTTGCGCTGCTTCGCCTTGTCACGGCTCTTGCGCACCGCGATGTTGTTGCGCTCTCGTCTCACCCGGTACTCGTTGCTGTTCTTGTCCACCGACTTCTTGGCCTTGCCCGCGCCCGTGCGGAGGTCGGGGTGCGCGGACGCCAGCCCCTTGAGCGCG